TCCATTTGAAACACCTAAATGTATGTAATGACTAGTAATACCTGATTAAATTAGACCAGAAATTTCTTCGTTTCGAAATGAAGCAGAGAACATGTGCCAGCGACTTGGTTGGTATACCACCAGAATTGTTACATAGGTATATTTTACGTCCAGACTCAAATTATTAAGCGTTTTAGACGGCGGCCTCCCAGCACAGAACGCCTGCGTCTACGCTCGGACCCGAACATAGCCAACCATGCGTCCCTAAGTTTCTCACGGAAACACGTTACTCGCTGTCCCACTATCCCAGACTCTTTTTGAGTGTGACATTAGTGCGTTCCCTACATTACAGGAATTCAAAACTATGCGGTCTTTTTCGTGAATAGTTTGTATATTGATTCAATCAAAACAAATCACAGGTCCTAACCGAATCACTAGAATTTGTCTAGCGAGCACTGTGGTCCTATACGCTTTCTTTCGCTTTTACTCACCAAAACACGCCAAACGGTGTGTCACGGTCTGTACATTAGACATGCAATGTTCCACTTAAAAAAGTAGAAAATCTCGGGGACTGGGAACGAAAGATTTCAAGTGCCGCTTTTCTGCACGCAAAACAAATAATGAATTTACAGCTCCTAGGAACCTCGGCATGTTTAAGGTTCCGGAGTCCATGCCCAACAAGACCCGTTACGCTTTTTTTTACTTGATCGATTTATTCTCGCATGTCACTGTTTAATATGATAATTGTCAGTGAATATGCACGGCTTTTCTAAAGCTACATCGACAAGCGTGAAATCAAAAAGATCCGTTTCGACCTATAGCAAATATAATATTGATTTTGTTTTGCATAGTTTAGTATACTATGGCTATATTGCCCATATGTCGTAGACTCCAGAGGGGCTACAGAATTAGAAGTTCTGCAGCATTTCAATAATAATACTGCCCATCTAAAGTTACTAAAACGTCACTTACTATGTAGGACTAGTAATTTTTGTTAGGGACGTGTCGCAAGCACAATAAGAATACCTTTTTTTCGAGGGTGTACTCGGAAAAAGCAGGCGGAACGCGCAGTCATATTTTATAGTTTCTTCATCTAATCATACCTGTCGTATACGTCGTTGGCAGGGTTTTAGTCAACGATCCTTGGCTCCTTTCAGCTATAAGCATAACCGTCGAAACTACTGTGCCGGTTACATTTTAGGGCAAAATAAATACATTTTAGATTGATCCTGCTACCCAGAAAAGGACAGATGGTTTCCTTGTGATTTTGTTAAATTTACCATAACTTTTTTTATCGAACAGAGTGGTGTATCGAACAGAGATTATTTCTATTGCTAATTTAAGTGACTTATTATGATCAAAAGAGGAAGCTGTTCTATTTATCAAAGCCTTAGCTCGACTTGAGTTATTGAATAATATGGAGTACTTGTTTTGTCGATAGTGTTACTCTCGCTATAAATAGTTCATGTCTTTTTTTACTTTATCATAAGTAAATGACTCTAGTGTAGTTACAAACTCATCGTTAGCACAAAAGGCGAAAAAGCAGGGTCTTTTCTTCAGTAGAAAACGTTGTACCAATTGGTTTAGTGGTGGATAATTAGACCACCCGTGTCAAACTTAGAAACGGCTTCGAAAAAGGAACTCTAACTAAAACCTGTTGCCACTATACCGAGATAAAGAATTAGCAAAGCCGTATAAAAAGTTCGGCATGCAGTTTACTAATACTAATGACTAATTAATCTTGACAAATTAACTCCACTTATTCGTGCAACAATTCGCTAGTTCCATCGGTGTCAACTTTGCCTTCTTGAAATTAAAAGCTCCAGTATCGTACTACTAATCGCTTCAATCTCCCACAGTCACAGTTAAGTGGCCGACAAAAATTACAAGGCGTGTCAATGTACCTGATATGTGTTTACCGCCTGCCAACACCTCAATACTGACACGCCGAATTATCTCAAAGATTCCAACAGGTATATTCATTCGTGCACCAGACAACGAACCTGGCATGTACGTAACTGTGGTACTGTAAGAACGCCAAGCTCATTGGATAGCCAATAAATATTCAAAATAGCATCATGCTATCTCGTTGATACCACATTTAAGTACCGAGAAAATGTCGCATCCCAAACCGGGCAATAGTGTTTGTATTTATCGGTTCAAGAAGACATCTATAAAGGTATAGAAGTACCGTATTGGGGAACCATCTGGCCCGGAGACTAGGTAAATAGAACTTTAAAGGTGGTTTATGACTAGCCCAGTCTCTTATTTGTTTTGAAAGTCTAAGCTTAGTGTCGTGTTTCTCGACAGTCCTGTCAACGTTCGCTTGATACTGATTGATGAACCAAATGTATTATAATATTTAACGTTGGCCAATACTTTCCCAAAATCGAAACTGCGTTAACGGACGATTGGCAGGTCCGTAAGATAGACTAGATATATACAGAGGTTGTCAGCAAGACAGTCGGGATACAATTCATTTCGAAAAGACACGATGCGGAGAAGCAATGTATTTATATAAAATGTAAATACAAATAGACCTAGGACTGAACGTGCTACTCAACGATCTAGAAGTTACCGATAGGCACAGGTAGAAAAAACTATTGATCAAATAAGATTTGAACGTCATTGGCACCGACTGGTCGATAACTCGTGCCACACACAAAGCTCGCAATCGATAAACGTGACATTGTATATCGCCTGAAAACTGCTTGTCGTAGAAAGTTGATATACTAGAAAAATATTTCGGCTGTTACATCGCACCACGGGAAAAAAGTAAGAGAATTTAAACAGTTCACCCCTTGCTTATCCTATTTCTTAGGAAAATATTTACCAGAAATGAAACTTTTAACTTTTACAAGAAGGAAACTTTTAACATTGTGCTTACGGGTACATAAATAGTTTCAATGGGCACAATAAAATTTACTGCACAAATGGAGCATTTGACTATATCTTTTTTGCAGAGATCTGTCAATACACTCATCAAATTCACACTGGCAAATCCCACCTCGACGTACAGAGTCAGCTCTGCTTATCTGTGAATGCCGCAACGATATCAAAAAGCAATGACCATAATAATCCTTACTTCAAAAGACTGAACTTATCGATTCTAGAGGAAGTGATTGAACATATCAGGACTTCGTGCGTTTTAAGCACAGGCTTTATATATAGAGAATTACAATAAAACTTTTAACAGTGAATTCTTAAACCTTTTAACGTGTACTACTTGCAAAGTATCTCTCCATGTTGCTTTGCTAAATGTTTACCATGAGCTCTAGCTTCTCGAAGATGATATAATACAGGACGTATCTAAGATGATGCCCCCCATTTGTTAGGACGGTGCCGATTTAAGGAAAATGACCTGCCTTTTTGGGTAATTGCGATTTACGACTATCTGAGATAAAGCCTTTTTTTAAAACAAGGTTATGAAAAAATAGATGTGTAATTAGCGCTATCTTTCATTCACTGATTAACGCAGGGTGCAAGCTGTTTCAATACGAATATGTAAATGTCACATTTTTGAGAACTAAAATTGTTTCTATAAAATATACCTCAAAAGGCCATTTGTAGACAAGAAAATTTCTTACCAAAAAATGCGATCACTTACACACTCACTTTCAATCTCCTTTTGAAAGCACAGAGCCCTACAGAATATGGTGTGATTTGTGTTTGCTCAATAAGGCAGCTTTCCTCTGTTTATTCTTCACGTACTATATTTACCATCCGTGTACAACTGTACACGTGTGAACCGTGCACTCTCTCATCTGACGTTTTAGTCTTGCTGTCACAAGGTAGTATGAACAGTAACGGTAATAATCGTGCAATAACTTGTTTACTGTTGGCGCGAACTGAAACAACAGCGACTCCTGTTTTAGTCCTAATATAAACAAGTCATAAAAACATTGCGCCACCCTAATGCAATTGGAAAGCAACATTATCGAAGGACTCTAAAATTAATCCTAACTGAAAATCGTGTCCTTAATGACTAATCACGAATCATCAGACACAAATGTACTGTTGTACTGCCGTGCTCGCTTTAAAACACTTGAAATTCTAATGAGTGGTAAAGAATTATGACAAATCAGTGCCTACTACTAGGGCAAATCGAGCTCAGACCTGCCAGTAAAAATATCCGGCTAAAAACCTGAGCTGAAAAAAATTTCTAGATTGAAGAAGCTACACTTGTTCAAGGGTACCATCTTAGTAAAAAGAAACCGAATTATGATATTTTAACGTAGTCGACCTCGCCACGCAACGCAACATCCGTTAACTTAAATCCCTCTTTCATTCAATACATATGACCACTTATTTTTGCTGGCCACTTTCAGTTTACTCAGAACTGATAACGCCATACGAAGTATCAGTTTCGTCTCTATTTAATATCAGACTAACGGGCCAAATCCGTGGTTAAAATCAACGGCAATGTACAGCACTTTTCTTTTAAGAAAGCCTTAGTGTATGTATTTCTTGTGATTAGTCTTAAACCTCTTTATACTATACTACGAAAGTAGAAATTTGCCATATAATCTTCTCCAACTTTAATTCACGAGTTTCTTCACTTCACCTCCTAACTACGCTGACACTCAGATAACACAAAACATCATTAGTAAGTTTTTGGTAATGGACGATTTACCACACCCACAATTATGCACCACTTCCATGTCATCAGATTAAACCCTTCTAATATAGATCCTCTGCGCTATAATTTTGAGATCAACGTCCGCTACCAACATATATATATATATATATAAATTCTCACACAGAAGAGCGGCAAAGTCACATCAAGAGACGCTTATTAATCAAAATTATGGTATTACTAGTTATAGAGCTGCGACACTTCCCTTATTCAATTATTTATGGGCTATTGTAGGATTATAATACAATATGTTCTCTCCCTACATGTCAGCTCTAATTTCGTCAAACGCTTTGGCTGATTGAACGTATCAGTCTCATGTTAGTTTTTCGCGAGTTTGTGTTTTATGTTACAAAAAAAAAAATCGAGGCACTAAATTTAATTTGTTTAACTCTAACTTTATTTATGCCACTTTGTATTCTACACTCCAACATACATCACGCGTTGCCTTGTTCATGTCCAATAAATCGAGAATTATTACTCTGACTATCTGTATACTTCAATAGATCCACAACAAACTACTTTCCAAGAGAATGCTGACAAAAGCTGTTTTACGCTAACCTATTTCTGCTGAACTACTTCGGTACCCAAAACTCCCTCTTCCAAAATTTGAGTCGCTCGGTGTCTGAAATATTCTCAAGGTATGATTTCCAAGCGTTCTTAATGACCTCGTTGGGGTCAGTTTTTAGAGGCTTGCCGTCCTCATCTAAGAATCGTACAAATGGCCCTTTTATAACGGGTAGAGGCACGTTCAATTCGCGTTTACGATCTTTGAACAGGACATAGAAAACAGCTCCGAGTGCGGTGAGACAAAAAGTGGTTCCAGCGGCAATTACCCTCTGGTTTCTGTAAAAAAAAACAGTACGAAAAGAACAGAGAGCGAAAAAGACACAATAAGGTCGATTTAATTAAGTTCGTATAAAATTAAGTTAATATAAAAGTAGATCAAAGGAGAGACACATTATATTTACAGAGGTTCGTAGAATCATCAATGGAGCTGAATTTTAAATAAGTTTAACTTGATTCCCATTCAACGATTTGAATGGACTTTATGTACTATTTTTTCCGTGATGGTACAAGAGTCACGTGTTTACCTGCTAACCTTAGCGACGTCCGAAATTGTTTGCCGTGAATACACTTTGTTTATGCTAGAAACCAATTGCCTGAAATAATACTTAACTAGAACAGTACCGAACGTAAAGCTCGAAACAACTATTGTTTTTGCTGCAGCGCTACTATATGAATTTTTACCCCCACTATTCACAAGTTACCTAGAGAGGCTATCGCTTTTTTGTCTTGAAGGAGCAGGACTTTTAGCAATTAGAAGTAACCAGTTTGGACAGTACATGCAATCAAGTGGGCGTCTATTTACATCACGATTAATTTGGATAAAGAAAAAAAGCTCAGTGGCCAAAGAGAAGTGCTAAATAGATATGGTTTTCATCTGCTTCAATCCATAAACGACTCACAATCGCATAGTGTCGCTGAATGAGATCGTTTCATTAACTCATGTTGTATGTTTTATTCGTATAGTGGTCCGAAATCGCCTATATTCTAAGCTTGGTATCCAGGTGTTGTCTTTAAACCGATAGACCTAGCGGGTAAATTTATGTCTAGTAGTGCGCTGGTGATTTTACTTCATTTATTAACTTCTTGAGAACATCGCAAATAATGGATGTTTCACAGACTAAATCACGCTAGCTTGGTCACATAGAGCGACTAAAATTTAAGATATTTAATTATAAAATAATAATCATACCAACGCCGATGATGCTCAAGGATAACTCCACATAGTATTATGTTTATGATAAGAAAATCGACTTAGCTCTATTGCATATATATGAATCACTGTCGCCTATTACAAAACATAGCAGGGTATTTGGGTCCATACCAACGTAACATGTTAACATGGTGCAACGAATACTATGACTAGTTTGGTCGTTTGTTTACCGTTTCTCAGGGCAATGAAACGGCATAGTTTTAAGTAACTAATTTTTTCTCTTATAAACATCTTATTGCCTAAGAACACAACGATTCTGCCAAGAATATTACTATAACATAAATAGAACTTTGCTTTTTACTGAATAACTTTTACTAAACACATTTATAATGGTCCTCCCATACCGATACGCTGCTGTTCCTCGAAGATACGTTCGCTCTCCAGCTGAGAAGTATGGCGGTTTCGTGGGATCTCGGTGATTCATTTTTCAGCTCACAGAGGAAATCACTGTTCACCCAGCATAGGAAATCGCTGCAGAAGCCAAACTGTAAGAACGTTTTTTTCTTCAATACGCGCAGCACAGAACGGCACTAAACCTATCCCGATTGTCTTTTATTAAAGAGGAGAGTGTGGTGATAAACATTTCAAAACAACATTGAAACGGAGCAGTATTTCGAAAGCGTGCGGTTATTCGAAGGGGCTGACTAACATTGACTTATTTCGGCCATCAAGATGAATAGTCACCAGCTAAATAGTTGGTGGAATAAGTTAGCTAAATAAGTTCACTGCCGAAACTGAAACGTTATTTTTAGCCTCGCGCATGTTTCAACAGCTTCCTACATATGGATCCAATAAATTAAGCGTATTCAAGAAACCATGGTTTGTTTCGAACGGGGTTACTCTAACTTATCGTCGTAAGGTCTTGAGATGCTATAGTTCGTGATATTAAAATATTAAAAAATGAAATCGCTAGTTTCATGACATGTTAACTAGTAATGGAATAGCCCAATTATTGTATAGTATAGAAACAAGCTGGTAAGCCGTATGTTACCAATAAAGTGTCCGAAACTTGAAGATCTATTACCCAGTTCCTAAAGAAATCCTGGAATAACGTAATTTTCGAGATCACACCCGCGATACATCTGAGTATATCGAAATCAACAACTATGCTTTGTCTGATAGTCTGACAACTTACGGTTTCTAGACAAGCAAGTAAATAACTTTAGTAGTTCTTGTGACAAGATAAGCTTTGAACGATGTAATAAACGATGCAGGCGACGAACCTGTTTCCAACAGCGAACGACTTCAAAAATCATTGCAGGTCGGATAGAGTAGGAAATAGAGGTGCTACATGCCCAGATTAAACGGCGAACCATATAGGCATTTTAAAGTTAATGTTCTGACATTTAGCCTTACAAAGCGACATATGAACACTTAGACATGTCCAAGTCCTCTACGTATCCATAAGATTCATACGTGTCAAAGATCCGTTGGTTGCAATCCGCGTATCAGATAACCTTCTTTAACCCATGGCGCACTTTTAAGCAAAAACGGAATTTGCGTTAGGCCATTTCTATATTAAAATGGCATCTCAAACATACGCTATACTAGTGACAAGAATTACGAATTTAGCTTTACCAAACTTTGCACAGTATTTCAAAATATGTATTTTTGGTTGGTCTGACATAAGGTCCAGATTTGCTGCTTTACAACGTTCACAACAAACTTCAGGGCAAACATAATCTAGGATAGCTCACCCGTTGTATCGATGATGGTATCATGGTATATTGAGTCTGATTTATTTATACAGGAGTCGTCGAATAATTTCTCTATAAAAACCGAAGTAAAAATGCCAATGAAGAGGCATTTTTCGGCATCATCATCAGTTTAATAATTAATTTAGTAGGGTAGATTAACGGCAAGGAGTTTACCCGACTGATTTTAACTTACCTAATATCTAAACTCATTCTTTCTTGATACAGCAATCAAATGGGACTAATTTACTAAATTGAACCACCAAGCATTTCGAGGTGGTTAGCTTTTCCGTGTTCCTTTTTATCGCCTTTTACATTACTTATTAATCTGTAATTTAACTAGCTTCCGAGACTTTCTATAAATCAATATGCTTGCTATATATGCGCTCAAATCTTAGACTGATCAAGTCTGCTGTCATCTTCAGCATTGTTTGCGTTAACTGTTGTTAAGACTAAACCACGTATGCCGTAGATAACCTATGCAGAAAAATTACCTCTTTAATACGTGTTTTAATCAGCTATATCAACGGAAGGTTGCCAACCACCGTCAACTTCAGGTTCGGAGCGGCACAGATCGCTTTTCAAATTACGAATTCGCAAGATCAATACATGGCTATTGCTTAAAGTTTCTCTGTGCTTCGGGAAACATGATAAACGATTGATCAAGCGCATACTAACCAGCGAACGAAATGCCACTGGGCCTTTTCTGCTTGCGCCCGCATATCTGATACCTTAAAAGAATAAAGCAGGCAGAACATTCACGTAACTCATTCGCAGATTGAAAGAAATGACTAACATGACTGAGGCAAGTATATCTTGCTGCATCATGACGTTATTTCTGTGAATGAAAAAAATATTAAGCCACGATAAGCCAAACCAAGTATTTACGAGTACTTTAAAATTAAAGCGGAGCACAATTTCATAAAGATGGTGGCTAGTAAGTGGCTTTAGAAGATGAATGATAAATATTCTCGCACTTTCAATCCTGTCATACTTTGATATATGAAAACATCGCGTGCGTAATATACGTAATTAAAGAATTACGTCAATGATATAGTTGTATGAGGATCAGTTAGTGCCTTTTTCTGATATATGATAACATTTGGCGTAACTTAATTATCGTTCTTTTTGAGCATCTATGGAGCACGCCTATAAGAAAATAAAACGTCTATAAAATACTGGACGGTCCGGGTACTTCATTCAGAAATAGCAATGAGAGATGGTTAATAATAACAATAGTAATGATTCGATTTAAAACATAATGCCTCAATGGAAGCTTTTGTTATTTACAATAGACAAAAAAGGACCAGTTAATATTGATTAGTGTAAAAAGAAAAGGCCTAAAGAGAATCCTTCCTAAGGAATTTCCGGTGCTATCTGGATCGCAAGAATCAGACGGCGTTTTTTAATTTAATCAATACAAAATCAATACAAGTAGTCGATGGAAATATAAAAAGAATGCAGCAGGGATTTGTGTAGATACAAAAATTTCAACGTCGTCAAACGATTACTACGCCATATTGTTATTATGCTGTTTCATAGGTCTGTTGGTGACAAACTCTTATCTAAGTTGAGCCAGAATCGTCTAAAGTAATGTCAAAAGGCTTAAATAAAAAATGCAAAAATAAAAGATCCAAAAACAAGGTGTGATCTACCATATATATGCACATATTATGGTACGTAGTTATGAAGGAAAGTTACCTCTTATAAATTGCAAGCAACGTAAGGTGTGTCCTGTCGAACCTTTACGTGCTCTTTCATCCATTAGATATACATAAAATTACTGCAAAAATATTAATGAGCCGTTTTCTTCGAGTTTGACTGGCGTCAGTATAGAATTGGTTACGCGTCGAAGTAAACATTTGACTGAAAAACAAACACAACCAAAGTATATGTTTCGAAATAGGGGTACGCCATCTTAAACTTGGCGTACGCTGGCCGACATTGAGGGTCAGAAAGAATTCGTTCACACATTGCTCCATTTTGAATTTTTGCTGAACCTAGAAACCATAAAAATTACATAGCATTCTACTGACAGACATAACGTAGCTAACTTTGTAGTAAATAGAAAGCCCGCATGTTTTACTATATACATGTCGATTTGCCTAGCCCTTCTTTCTTTCGAATTCTACGTCCCGTACCGCAGTTAGGCAGGCATTCCATCAGACAGACAGCACGAAACGAACCAGGCGTCTTTACGCGGATTCGAACCTAAACCACAACCTGTCCCGAAGATTAGTAGGCACGCACGGAGAGTGATTTGCTCAACTCGGTCATGCTGTATAGGATTGCTGAGCATAGGAAGCTTTTAAAAGCTTTTCCCTCATTTGTCTGATTGCCGTGACTAAAGTTTTGAATTCTGGTAACTATGAAACAACGTCTAAACCCAAACAAACATTTCTGTTGTAAATAAAATGTATAGTGACGCACAGCGTCCGACATAAATAACAATCTTAGTAGTAAATCGGTAATAAATAAAAATTTAATAAACTGAGTTGTATCTGATAGTTGGATAAACCATATTTTTCTAACAATATAATGTGTAGCACGTTTTTCACTTGACCAACATTTTTAACTTAGTTTGATCGTATTATCCTTCCCTGGTCAAGATGCAATAAGATCCCATGCATAGTAAGCTATTCTAGCGAACGGTACCTTCAAAAAAAGTCACTTATAGAGAAGTTACTTACCAAAATAAATAAAAACATGGGAAAAATTTTGCTTGGAGACTACGTTGCTTGTCACAACACCTGAAGTTAATAGTAACAGCAAAATTAGTCGCAATTTTATAAAAACTAGCGATTATTTTTGTTATCCCCATCAAACAGCAGCAGATTCTAGCAAAGCGCCACATATAGTTAACATATGGCGTAGAAACAAGCTTTAATTGGCTTGGAACAGAACCAATGTTGGCTATGCTCAACGAAGCGCGACGTCGGATCCGTTAGCCCGCCTTACTCTTTCTGCGTTGCCTTAAGATGATAGTCCGAAACTCATTGGCCCAGCATGTTCAGTTCCGTGCCGCATCACGATGCTAGTATAAGTGAGTTCTCAAAAACCCCGCCTTGCCACTGATAGATATTGAAGTTCTTCCTTGTTTCTAGCCTCCGCCTCCGTTTTTTTGGTCTTTTCGACTTCAACAGCGCCGCCCGTCTTGGGTATGCCAACATGCTAGAAGTGGTGTGCTTTCTTTTGTAGAGAAGGTAAGCAGATGTTTCAAGCGTAAACACTAAGTAAGTTGTCGCGAGGGGGTGAGAGAGACCGGCCAACGGGATGCCGCAGGCCTATATCGAAATCGGGGTGGTAAGCTGCCTAGGGCGGTCAAGTACACTGAGTCGCTGAGGCAGTACTTCGCTGTTGTCGCTCCTATTGTTGGTTTGTGGCTGACATAGGTAGAGGTAGGCAATTACCATACCACTTACCAACCCACTAAGCCAAGATTTTCCACCTTCCGACTGTCGACATGGGGACAGGTAGGCCGAAATCGAGTTACAGTTGCTGTGGGAAATTATTGAACGAAATACCTGTTTGCTGTTAAGTATTACACATCATGCAGCTGTAGATAGTGATGACGTTGGTGTTATTGTTGCTCAAAAGTGTCGTTTCATTTCAGATGTATTCTCACGATAGTGGCATCTTCTCGCGTTTTTTTCTTCACCTCGTTGTTGATCTGCTTTGCTGCCGCAAGTCCCTCCCTGCGATGCCGCTTTCGCTGCGGCAGTTGTGGCAGCAGCCGCAGCAGCGGCCGAAGCGACAACGCATCGAGAGAACTTAAAAGGCGGAGGCCCACCCACCGATAGTCGCCGTTCATTCCAGCCGCTGACGGCTTCAACGAAGACGCTTACCCTTTCCCCGTCTTGACCGTACATCCACCCCGTCCATCCGCGAGAAGCGCGACG